AGNGAGAGAGAGAGAGAGATGTTTCTGGATCCTCCTGCAGATATTCTTTTTCATCCCTTCGAAACGCGTTGGATCTTGTGGATTTGCCTCGACAAATTGGATTCTTTTTTCTCTAGTTTCGAATTTCTATTTATATCGATAGAATATGTAAGAAGATTACGATATTGAAAATATTCCACGAGTGTTTCTCTGTACAAATATTTAGAGTTGAGATTCTTGCAGAGGGTTTTTTGTGAATGGAAGAGGCGATATAAATTGGTTATGGAAGAAGAAAAACAAGAAAAATAGAATGGAAGAAGAGAGGAATTTGGAATTAGGAAGAGCGACAGGTCTGGTTGACCGTACGGATGAAAAAGAAATCGTAATTTATACGTGCCGTCAACACGGCCAATAAATCTGCGGCCGCATCTCGAACGAATCCTACAGTTTGGACGAAAGTTAGCCGGGCCGCCTAGGGTGTCCATTATTCCCAGATAATTACATACTTCTCCCTCAGGAATTTTTGAAATGAGTTCCATCCAGCCTTGGTTTTCGCCCGGCCCACCTTTCGCTCTCGACACCGAGGCCAATAAGTTTCCCGACCCCGGTGAAAATACCGGTGAAAAATGTTCTTGTTCCTCCGTGAAAATTCGATCAACCGTTATTATACACACAAATCTCTTCATTTTCATATTTTCATATTATATAGCATCATCAATTACAAGAATCGAACGATCTAACCTCGCTCGAGTCTTTCCAAAGTTTCCACAGTTTTAAACGAATCGAAAGTTTTCTTTTTTTTTCAATCCAAATCCAAACCTTGTAACAAGATTAAAATTCTTAAAATAAGGAAAACCACGTTTCCACGAATATAACTCCCCGCTTAATAGGGGACTATCCTATCGTAGCAAACAAAAATTCTTCAAGATCAATGACCTACAGTCGATAACGTCGAGACTATTCTCATTGCCCGTTCAATTGCTCGGATTGGATCCAACAACCCCTGATCTTCCACGAAACTCGCTATCGTCCCGTGGAAATAGTCTGGTGATTCGAGGCAAGTGAGATAACAGAAGCTGGTACCGCTAGCGGAGAGACGTGGGCGCCTCCATTACCCAACTGTTCAACCTGTTCGAACTGCAATCAGACTCACGCGAGACCCGACGACGGCTTTAAACTAGACCAGCCATGGGAGGCTATAGTTTAATGGGCGAGCAACGTTACTTCTCTCCTTCCTTCTCCTCCCCCTCCTCTCTCTCTCTGTTTATCGCGCTCTGTCCTCGTCCCTCGTACGCGCTCCTCGTCCCTCCTCCGATCGAGAGGCGCGCGCACGGTTCCTCGTGATGAACAGTTAGCCGGAACACGGAAGCTGGCGTTTACGGTTCAATGGAACGCGATTCGACCGTCTGGATAGAATTGATTCTTTCGTCGATTCGACGAAATCGTTCCATCGAGGATGATATCTTCGATATTTTTATACCTTCGATGGTTTTTTTTTTTTTTTGTTGGAGAACAATTGCAGAGATGTTTTCTTAGAAAAAATTTTAAAGAGCTTATACGATTTCGTTTTCCTATAATTTATCGTTCGTTAATTTTCATTAGAGGATTATCGAACAATTTTGTAGAAATCGATCGATTCTTCGTTCTGCGAAGTCGTGCGTAGAAATCTCAATTGATCCCACTTTCCATGTAATTCAAATTTCGAATCGAAAAAGGGGCGCGAGACTTCTCTGGCAACGCTTAACTTACTCGTTGAACCAATTTAATCCCGGATTAATCGGGGAAAATAGTCGGACGCGCGTCTCCTTCCTCTTTCATCCTTCTTCCTCCCCCCCCCTTCCTCTCGTCGTCAAAATCAAACCAGGTATCGGAAGCAATCTCTGTTTACTCGTTCTTCCCCGCTCCTCCTT